AAAAACCCAAAAACATAAAACCAAAAAACCAAACCAACACAACAACAACAAAAAAGAAAAATGAACAAAACCTATAATCAAGTTTTTTTAAAACCCTACTATGTGTCTCTTACCAACTCCCTTTTCACTTTCTCCAACAATTATCTTTAACCCTTGAAGCCCAGCCTTCTTTCCCTGTCAGTCTCAGCAGATGCATTGTTTATTTTTCCATAAAGGATAAAGATGCCATTGGAAGGGAACTGCCATAGTCAAAGTCAGTCCCTTCCCCCATTGACACCTCCCGTTTCCTCCTCCTTTCCTAGTTTTAAAGGACAAGCTGTCGACGCCCCCACCTGCCACATAACATACACGTCACCTGTGCTCTGGCTCTCAGCCTTTCCGGTGGCCTCTAGGACTTTGATGTTCTCTCATTCTTTGTCTCTGTCTATCATGTCTTCAACCACTCCTGTTCATCGAATGTTCCAGACATATTTAAAACGTGTTCAGGTTAGAACCATGGAAAGCATAACCAACCCTCCTTCAACTCCCCTCTTTCCTATTACCATCCTTTCTCTTTCCCCTTCTTTCCAGCCAAGTTTCAAGAGAGGTGTCCAGAATTCCTGTCTTCATGTCTTTGCTTCTTATTACTTATTTCCAATCTGGAAGTTTATCCCCAATGATCTACTGAAATCTGTACCATTAAGTTTTCGTATTTCCAAACCCAGATGACATTGATTGGGTTTTGCTCTATTTGACTTCTTCATAACTTTCAACACACACACACACACACACACACACACACATACACACATTTCTTTAGCCTTTATCTTAAAATTTCAGTTGTAGAGCAAAAGGGTTGTTAGCTTTCTGTCACTGTGACAAAATACCTGAGGTAATTCATTTATAAGGAGGAAAATTTATTTTGGCTCATGGTTTCAGTCCATGGTCAGTTGACTCTATTGCTTTTGGGCCTATGCTAACATAGTACATCATAGTGGCAGAGAGGGCTGTTCACCTCATGGCAGCCAGGAAACGGCGGGGAGGGATGGGGGTGACTGCAAGGGGCCAAGATCTTAATAGTATTCTTTAAGGGCATGCCCCCCAAAACCTAACTTTCTTCCTCTAGGTTGATCAACGATGTTTAGTTGAATATCACTGTATTTATCTTAAAATCAACTTACTGTAAGATTATTGCTCCATATGATAGTTGCTATTACTATTTTAAAGGCATATTTTAAATCAACTTTATTCCTAGCTTATATTTTAGACCTTTGGATTAAAAATTGTATGTACAGCTAAGTTATATTATTTCTGTAAGTTATATTACTCACTCCAGCTGAGTAAGCAGGGATTTTCAATGTTTGTTAGAAAAGGCCAGGGCTGGTCTGTTGGGACTGAGAATTTCTGCTTTGGTGGTAACAACTTACTCTTAATACAGAGACCAGGGAAGCAACCCAAGACCAGAAAGCTGCACTCCCAAGGGCCAACTCCATTGTTCTAGGAAAAGTTTCCACTTGCCCAATAGCCCAACGGTACCTCCCTTTCCAACTGACGGGAGCATTGTGGCCATTCCTTAGTTCTTGTGTGAGCTCTCTGAGTCGTGGGTACTTCCCACAGATTTTACTACTTCTTAGCCAACATCACTCTCCCAACATTAAGGGTGGGGGGACAGAGAGTAGAAGAGCAAAGCCCCAAGCATGAGATTGCTTTCACCTTAAACATTTTTTAAGTGAAGTTATTCTCCGGACATGGCTCTTTCTGTAGATAGCACATACCATGGACTCAAGATGGAGAAACCATTTTTTGGTTGTGGTTGGAAATGTGTTTTAGCTATAAGACAGTCTTCTGCCTGTGGGTTTCTTCTTTTCCTCTGTCTACAATAAGACTATCTAGTCACTTCCACAGAAAGGCCTGAGTGACAAGTGGGTGGTCTCCGAAGAGAGGACCTCTGTTCTGATGGGCCCAGGGCACCCAGGGGATGTAGTGCATGTCGTTCAAAAGTGCAAGATGGTGGCTCCAGGGATGGGGTGTTTTCTCCCTCTGCCTTTGTGGGAACAGGATAGCGGTGTGCACAGGCACATGTGGCCAGGGCCCACAGGATCATGGGGCAGGTTAACGGTGCAGAGAGATGTGTATGTGCTGTAGACAGCAGAAGCAAAGGAAGCCAACCAAGCTCTTCTTCCTCAGAGTGTCCAAGGATTGACACCACCTGTGTCACCAGGGAGCTTATCAGCTATGCGCAATCTCAGGACTCACCTCACACCAGGCATGAGAAGTTGCATTTGAACCAAATTCTCATGTGACTTACAGGCATGTTATCATGCAAGAAGCACCACTCTTCTAACCCGCACTCAGGGCCTGGGCCTTCAGACCACTCCCAGAGCCCTCCCTTTGCTGTCCAGCTGGCCTAACTCAGACTTTGTCACCTAGATCTTAATCCATTTCCCACGGGTCCATCCCTGTGGTCTCTCTGTCTGCCCTTCCTCAGTGGCTGGCTCTAACATTCTGTGTTCACCCCGATAGCTAGCCCCCAGCCCTTGGGCACTGTCTGACTGATAGCCAGCTCCATTCAGAAGGCTCGTTAAGTCCATGACTGGACCAGCTCACACATGGTCCACACACCAGAAAGTAAAGCCTGAAATTCTTGGAAGGTTAGGTATTTATTTATGTTGCTTAAGACAAGCTCTATACAGTAAAAACAAAACACAGAGGCTGAATGGCATAATCATTAAACATCCACCTCGGACCACAGCATTTAGGATTTCCAGAGCACGTGGGTGGAGGCACTTTTGTACCGAGGCACATAGACTTTCCCAGGCCGCAGGGAGTGACCTGCTCTCTTGCCTAGTGAGGTAGGGAGGAACAGCAGTAGATACGGGTCAGGGCCAAGCCCAGGGCCCCTTCACGAGCTGATTGTCTGGTTGGCAGATGACAAGGACGCCTGTTTCCTCCTGTCACCCACCTTGGGACCATTTCTGCTCTGAAGGACTTTGTTTGGTGTCATCCTCTTTGGTGTAAGGAAGCACCCCAGCCAGGGAGCGATGGAGAAGGAACGGCTGACACCCAGTGGGGCTGGGATCGTGGGAGGTTCATGTGCCAGTGTTTTCCCTGTTTCTTATTAGCAGGGAGACCACAGGCCCTCCCTGTGCCAAGCAAATGCCAATCTCTGCTCATCCGCCGTCAGGTGAACCTCTCATAGGCGGTTGCTGGCACTCTATCAGGACCAATTTATGTGACACGCTTCTGCCTCCAGCCTGGGGAAGCACCTTAGAAAACAGACACGCCCCGCCCCCCCCCCCCCACAGCCCTCCTCCAGCAGCCACAGGCCTAATGAGAGGCTCCTACACTGAGTTTTTATTCCTTATCACTTAAGGACCCTAATGCAGTCTGTAGACATTAGTACGTGAAGCCTCTGGGGGCTGGCAGGGGCATCTCACGCACTCTGTTGGCCTCTGAAGGCCCTACTCTCTTGGCTTCGTCAAAACATGCCTCCTGGTCCGGGAGCCCTCTGTGATCTTTGGGTTCAGAGATGACTTTTTGGTGGCTGATCATTCTAACTGGGGGAGGCAGGGCCGTAGGGGAGACTCAACAGAAAACAGCTGTTTATCAATAGAGAGCAAACCAGTTTTAGACTGAATCAGTGATGGGTGGCATGGGACTAGGGGACAGATATTCTGTGACCCTGGCTGTGGTCTGGCCTCTTGTGCTTTGGGGCAGCAGTGTTTTAGAGTGGTAACTTTAATGGAAAAGTCCCTCTTAGCTGTTCTGAAACATGATACAGTAGTCCCCTCTTATCCTCAGGGATACTTATAGGACATCCCAACCCCCAGTGGATGCCTGAAACCTCGGATGGTATGGACTCTATATGAACATTCTTTCATATGCATACATTCCTGTGATAAGGTTTAATTAATAAATTAGGCACAGGAAGAGATGGACAGAAATAAAAACAGAATAATTATAACAACATACTGTAAAAAAAAGTGTGGTCTCTATTAAAAGTCAAGACAAGTATTCATATTTTCAGACTGCAGTTAACCATGGAGAACTGAAAAGAAGGACCATGAAACCGTGGATAAGAGGAGACTACTGTACCCCATGAGGGGGAACCAGGAGCCACTGTGATTTTCAGGGTGCTGGGAAGGAAGGCAGTTTCTCTGCCTCTCAACGGAGGACGTGTGAAGGTGCCCCGTTTTTTTTCCACGGAGCCAACTTAATGAACACAGTCCTTCAGCCTTGAAGGCAGGTCCAAGAAGAGGCTCAGCCATGATACTCAGTAAGCAGGTGTGTGTCCCCTTCCTACCGACTGATCTGTAAAGGGTCTACTCTAAGCCTTCCAGGGAGACATTCAGAGTAACAATGAAAAGGTGAGAAGGCACAGTGGTTTAAAGAACGGTCACCACCTACTTAATGGAGAGAAAGCAATTACAGTTGCTCGGAAGACAGTTCACTAATGGCTCCACAAAGAAGTGCCTTCACACCCTCACAGGAGGATCCATTTGCAGGCTCCTGGTGACTCCCAACTTTCAAGGGGAAAAAAAATCTCCCTGGCTCAGTGAGAACCAGGTGCAGCAGCTTCAGCCCCAAAGCAACCCCCACCCCACCGCCAAATGGGTGGACCTTAATTTGGCTCCCACCCTTCCCACCACTGACCAGGGGAGAAGAGAAGGGACCACAACCCCTGCCCACTGACATCTCCTCATCTCCAGGTGCCCTTAGGTTGCAGGTAGAGCTGTTATCTCCCTGCCACTTATGAGTCTCAGCTCCGCATGAGCCTTGGGAGAGCTGAAGGGGGACTAGGGTGGAGGATAAAGGCCAGTACTCACCAAGGCCAAAGCCTCTTCTGTACAAAAAGTGGGTATATCTCCGCAAAGGTCACAATAGCATGATCTTGCTATTTAACATCTGGCACTTGCTTTTAGCTACAAGTTGAAATCTCAGGGACCCAATTTTTTTTTTTTTTTTTTAAGCTAAGTAAATATAATGGGAAGTCCTGTTATATATGTAAAATACACGTACATCTATGACGCGCACACGTGCGTCATTCTGAATATTACTGCACACAGTTGCATCCCAGGAATTCCAACCTCAAACCACCGCTTTGTGCGTGGACACTCCACATTGCTCCATCCAGAAAAGAAAACCCGAACAGGGCTCAGGCTGCCGACCCGCCCGCACCTCTGGAGCTGAAGCAGGCACCTCACACGTGGCTCGTCTTCTCCACCAGGATGTGGTCTGTGGGTAGCACAAACTTGATGGCGCCATCCTTCTCCCAGCCCCTGCGGATCTTGGCAAGTCTTCGGCTGAAACAGGGGAGGAGGAAGAGGCCTTTGGCCAGGATGATGACGCAGGGGACCAGCAGCGTGAGTGTGAAGGTGGGCGGCAGGTAGAACTTGTAGCGGTTCTCCTCGAAGGCGCGGGTCCAGCCGTAGGTGAGTGTGTGCAGTGTGGTCAGCACCAGGGCCACGAAGCCCAGCGTGGACTGCGGGAGCAAAAGGCAGGAATGAGGGCCTGCGGAGGACCCTGTGCTCCTGCCAGCCTGGTCCCCGGGGAGGGGCTGTAGAACTCAAGGCTGTGGTTTCCAGTCCCAGCCCAACCACTCAGCACATCTAAACTCTCTGACATGTCACTAGCAGAAAAATAAGACTTCTGTGTTGAAGGGATATAAGGGTTGATTAATGCAGATTCAATAAGATAACAATGATCCCCCCCCCAACTGTTACCTGTGCTTCTGACAGCTGCCAGACAATTTTAGATGGAATTATGTTCAAAGGAACTGAAAAACATTTTAGTAGTTTTGTGTATATTTTAATGAAGAGTAATAAGTGTCCGCCAGCATACTGAAATCATAATTTCACAACTAGTTGGCTTAAGTTAAGGCTGGATAAAAAAAATGAAATTGATTTTGAGTTCGCTTAAAGAGAAACACAAAGTAAATAATTTATAGATGGTATGTGGATGTGGCACCAACAGTTAAGGGGGTTCCTAGGGACCTGTGGTCTGAAGGTGACCTGGCACTATACAGAAAGCCTCAAACACCAGACAGATGCACTCAGTGAAGGCTGGTCTTTCACCTCCTGCCATGCTGAGTTATCAGCACCCCAGGTGGAACCCCCTAACCTTTCCCTTGGCCTGCTAAGAGCTGAACCCTAGTTTTTCTATGCAGGTGAGCTGCTCCAATTTGGGAATTTTGCAGTGTAATGATGCTTAGCTGACTGAGTTGGAATCCTTTAATGCAGCCGAAACCCACACCAAAATGGTCTTACCACAGGGAGGTAAGACCATTCCAGCTCCAATTGGAAATGGCCTTCTTATATCAGGGCTCCACCCCTTGAGCCACAGGTGGGCTTTTGTGGGTCACTGCCAGGTGCAACACATGCCCAGGAAGGGCTGATTCCTATAACTTCGGCCTCTTTTGCATGCCAGCATTCCCTGGACCACACAGGGAAGGTGCAGATTCTTCCCAGGTGCTAGTTCCCACAGACACTGACCCAGTTCCAATGGGAGGTCCTGCCTGCCCCTGCTTTCTGTGGAGGCACCAGAGTTGCAGAGATGGCTGGAAAGTGTCTTTTATCCCTGAGCTGACCAGTCTGAAACTGGTTTCAAACTTCCGCTGCACATTAAAATCACCTGGAGATTTGGGGGTGAGGTGGGGGGGATATTAGTGCCCGAGCTCCACGCCCCCCCGCCGGGAATTTAGATTAAATTGGTTTGGGGCAAGGCTCAGGCATCTGTTGTTTTTCAGAGTTCAGCAGATGATGCTAATGTGCAGCCAGGACTAAAGCACTAATTCTGGAAACTCATATCACCCACATCTTTCTAACTTGAGGTTGAAAAGTCCACATGGGTCCCTGTGCCCAGAAAGTCTGACAGGGGAGGACTTGGACCTATCTGTTCCTTAGACAAAGACCCCCCTGAGGGCCTTTCAGTGCCTGTGTGCTGTGTTGTGCTTTCCTCTAGATGGGGCAGCAACAAGAAGCTGCCCAGGCCTAGCATTAGCATCTCCCTTGGGTGACATACCCTATACTCCAGAGCCTGACACATATGGGCCACCATCCCCAATCTCTAATCTGGAGAGGGAGGGATGAGGTCTTGCACTGGGACAGCAGCCCCCAAGCCCACCAGAGGCAGCCAGCTCCTCCTGTTCATACATTCTCATGGTGTGTCATCCCAAGTCCCAGGATGCAGGTACCAGGAAGCACTAGCCTCGGGCAAAGAGTTCATAGCAAGGGACAAGAGCCAAAGGTCAGCCAATAACGAAGGGCCTCTTGACTTCCCAATCCTGGTGGAAAGCCCAGATGATTCCAGCGAGTTTCTGTCCCTAAAACTTTCTCTCCTTGGGAGCAATTTAATAATCCCAGAATGGCCAAAGGAAACCCAACAAAGGGGAGGGATTGTCACAGGGCAATTAATAACCCCCCAAGCCAGGGCCATTTTTATTTTGTGGAAGCTTGTTAGTAAAAAAGAAACAGCCAGGTCCTCGGTGGCTCCTGCTGGTGCTCAATTACTGCAGCATGAAGGGGCTCTGGACAATCGCTCATCAAGCGGGGGTCAGGCTGTTCTCTGTCATTATTTCAGGCGAGTGGCTGGAGTGAACAAGGTCACAGGAAGCTCCTCAAACTCTGGGGCAGAACTGAGGTGCTAAGAGCTGAACCCTAGTTTTTCTATGCAGGTGAGCTGCTCCAACCTGGGAATTTTGCAGTCTAATGATGTTTAGCTGACTGAATTGGAATCCTTTAATGCAGCCGAAACCCACACCAAAATAACGAAACCGCCCAAAGAAACACAGCCCCAAATTAAAACTTTGAAAACAGCCTTGGAAACAAAAGGACAAATGAAAATATGAGTTGCACTATCCCAATGGCTTTTAGATAAACACAATATTATAGACCCAGGGGTCAGCCCATTGAGACCACAGGTGGTTTTGAAGCCCTGGCAGCTGTGTGAAGGTGCATGGGAGTGGGGGAAATAGAATCTGGGTAGCGCCTCACTGGCCACACTAACTTGACAAGATTTGGTTTGCAACTTTGCTAAAAAAAAAAAAAAAATCATTCATTTAGCCAGCCACACATGGCGGTGCATGCCTATAATCCTAGCAACTCAGGAAACTGAGGCAGGAAGATCACAAATTGAAGGTCAGTCTAGGCAACTTAGCAACTCTGCCTCAAAATATAAAATAAAAAGAGCTGGGGGTGTAGCCCAGTGGTAGAGTGTCTCTGGGTTCAAATTCCAGTAACCCTCCAAAAAAATCATCCAGTTATTATGGAGTGCATGGGTCCTTAGTTGACATGTACTGGGCTCACATATTCCCAATGACCACATGAGTGAACTCAGGCACCACACCAGGGAGCAGAATCTCCAAGAGTCTGAGAAACTTGTCTGATGGTGCAGGGCAGGGGAGGGTCTTGGCACTGACCCCAGATCAGTGTTTCCACCTCCTGTGTTCCAACCACCAGGGGGCGCCACACACTGCAGCACATGCACCTAGGGGTCACCCAGACTTCCAAGTCATCCCTCAGTATGAGTTCACAGGTCAGGGGCAAGTTTGGGCATCCCTATTCTCCAGGAGTGCTCTGTGTCTTCAAACCTTTCTAATGGTGGCTTGCCAGTAAGAAAGGCATTTTACATCACTGCACAGGAGACAACATGTATGTAGTTCCTGAGTCAATATAGCTGAAAACATCTATCCTTACACCATGCAAGCCCTCAATGTTTCCTTTGTCATTTTATTCTATTTCATTTAGAAAATGCAGGGGGCAACCCACTGAATGGATTGCATGACCCACTCAAAATGTCTACCATGGTTGGCAAACTCCGACTTGAACTGCTTGGATACCCAGGGTTGAAGCCTCTTGGCCTCTCTCTTGCTACCTCCAATCGGGAGTGAATGGTCAGGAGAACCATGGTGGTGCACGACTGTAGTCCTAGCTCAGGGGCTCAGGTGGTGGGACATGATCTGCTCAGAGTGGGGATACAGGCGGTGGAGCTGGAAGCCAGGCTTCCTGGGTCCAGGGCATCTTGCATGTCAGCTTTCTTGGGAGACAGAGCGCCTGGGTTTTGTGGACAGAGTGAGGATATTTTATTTCCACAAACAAAATCCTGCCTTCCTACTCATATGACCCCCATCCCCAGCTCCTGCAGTGGCAGAAGGACTTTCATATTTTTATTTTGACTCTTCAATATGTAAAGCAGGGTGCAGCTACTGGGGTCTCAGTCAGCTTTTGCTAACAAAATCAAATCCATAGGCTTTCTCTAGCAGCCAGAGCCAGGGCATGTAATCTGTGGCTGCTTAAGGGAGCCACTTTCTGGTGAGAGAAGCAACCTGTGGTCTGTTTTAATTGTGGACAAGCCATGTACCCAGGATACTCTAGGCGGGAACAGGCAAATCCTAGATTTGAGTGTGAGACACACGGGGATTAGTGGCAGATCAGTCAAATTCCCTTCCCTCCGCCCTCTTGGCTAGCATGTGTCAGCCTGAGCACTCCTCCAGGACTTGTGAGACGAGCAGAGCCCTGGAGATTCACAGACAACGCTTTACAAAACAACCACAACCGTTTTGTTCTAAGGTACTCTAAGGATCCCCAGTCACAAATAATTAATCGCAATTACATAAAAGCAACACACTGTCACTGTCCCTGAGTCCTCACTGCTCAGGGAAGATACTCAACAGATTTTTTTGCTGACAGTGGGGGTGGATAACATTGCTGTTCTCTGCCCTGATACCATACAAAGGCAGGATCCAGCATTAGTCAGCGCCCATCCATGGAGGGGATAGGCTAATCCACCAACACTGACCATGTGCTCTGTGTGGGGAATGGTGGGAGATGCCTGAGGAATGTCAGAAGGGTCCCCATCTCAGTTATCTCCATTATCATTGGAACAAGGCTCTGCCTGCCTGCTCCCTACCTCATCCTAGCGTGATGTCCCGCATACAGCAAGTGCTCAATCCATGTACAAAAACCCTTCTGCCTCTGGCAGCATTTCCCAGAGCATGTTCTGAAGGGGGCTGATAGCTTTGAGAGCTGTCACCTGAAAAACAGGGCAGGGGTGGTGCTAAACGTCACATCAGTCTAGTTAACAGGTTGTGTATGGTACACATTGTTGGAATCTTTGATGTGCCAAAGAGTGCTATGAGTCTCTTAGGGGGAAGCATTTCTCAAATTTATTGGATGACAGATCTTCTTCTTCTTTTTTTCTTTTTCTGGTGGTGCTGGGGGTATGTGTGTGAGGCAAGCACGCTACCACTGAGCAATACCCCACCCCTAAGACCTCCTTTTCTCTGGATTTTCCCAGGAATGGTGTCCTTTGGAGATGCCGTGACTCATCCCTTACGTACAGTGACCCCAAAGCTCACCTCCCCACCTGCCCTGCATGCATCCAAGGCTTAAAAGGAACCAGAGTGCCAGGTTGGGGCATGGGGGCGGTGTGGTAGGCTGGCTTCAGTGATTCACATCTAGACCTGCAAAATGTCCCATGACTACAGGGCACAGAATTTTTGTTTGGACAGTTCAAGAACTGCAGAAGCTGAGAATGCTCGATCTGGGAGTCTGTGTGCTGTTCTCAAAATTTTTTTGCATTCCTCCACTTGGCTTCCCCTGATGTCTAAAGGTGAGCTTGTCTTTGGCAGTCCTGTTGTCAGGAAGCCAGGAGGGTCCCCAGGGTAGGAAGGCCCTGGCATCTGACTGGGTGGAAGGAAGGTTCTTGCTGGGGACAGGTGGGCGGGGCCGCTGAGGCTCCCTGGTAGAGAAATCACTACTTTACCTGTACAAAGCTGAACTCCCTCCAGTTGAGCGAGTTCGCGATGGACGGCAGAGAGGTGACGGCCAGCAGGGACAGCGTGCCGAGGGCCAGCACTCCCAGGGAGACGTATATCTCCATTCGCCAGACTTCCTCCTCCACCCAGAGGTGGCTCTTGTTGGCTACCTGACATGGACGGAAGGAAAACCATGAACACAGAGGCAAAGGCTGGTGCCCTGGGAAGTGTGGGAGCGTGTGCTAAAGAACAGGAGCTGCTACCGCCCCTACCCCCACCTGACACCCACCAAGTGCCCGATTGTGTTCTAAGTGCTTCTCAGGCATTCCCACAATCATGCCCTGAGATGGAGATCACTATTAACCCATTCTACAGATGGAGGCACAGAGGTCAAGTCACTTTCCCCAGGTCACGGGTTCCCAGAGTCTTACACATATCTGTCTGGGAGCAGCCAACCAGCCAAGAGCAAGGAGCCAGAGAGATCAACAAGAAAGACACTTTGAGCAAAACTGTATCACACGGATTTTCAATCCCTACATCACAGGACAGCAAGAGGGGCTCTTCCAGCATCCCCCCAGCCAGGTGGGCTGGCACCTCCGCAGGCTGCCTCCTCTCCCGGCCCATCTCCCGCTGGACCCTTGTTCTCCCTGGTCCCCACAGTCTGCCTCTGGCTCACCCCTCAGGACACACAGACACACAGAGTTATTGACCCCCCAACATTTCCTGACTCAAGTCCCCAAGTCCCCATCTTCCCACCTACTCGTTCATTTCTGTCTGAGGCACATAACTTTGGTCCAACTGTTGCCAGGCAACAGAGACTGAAATCCATTTGCCAAACCATTTAGCAACCACTTAGGAAGTACCTACTATGTGCTGAGCCCTGGGCTGCAGAGAGCAGGGACACCTGCTTTCACAGAGCTCTATGATCCTTACTAAGCTCCAGGGATTCATACACAGGAGACTCTCTGCAAACCTGAAGATTCCCCCTCCTCTGCCCACGTGGACCATCCCTGCAGATGAGCCCACTCCTAGCCTGGTGACAACCAGAGGCAGAGCATACTCAAGAGGAAGACCTTGTGTCAAGGTCCTTCCATTAGGGATCATCATCTCCCAACCCGCCCAGGTAGCCGAGTTCCTGGAAGTCAGTGTGTTTTCTGAGAAGCCCCAAGAGATGCTCGTTACTTTTATCTCCCAGCAGAACAAGCAGCAGTAAGTGTGACAGAAAATGTGACTCTTCTTCAGTAGGCTGGTCCCTGCCTCTTAAAACAGAATGACTCACATAGGTTTATTTTTTGAGAAACTACTTCACCTACGAAAAAAAAAAAAAAAAGAAAGAAAAAATAATGTAAGCCTAGTTACCAGATAAAATATTAAAAATGAATCCAGGGGCTCAGTTAAAACAGCTGAAAGGCTTATTGAGGGGAAGTTTAAAGAAACTGAGAAAAAAAATTATGGGCTCTATGTTATTTAAGGATATTAGGGGGAGACGGCTCATGTTGGAGGTATTGCTTTTTCTTGCTTTCTGCTTCTTCTCCCCCCCCCCCCCCCCCCCCCCCGTGCTGTTGGGATGGAACCCAGGGCTTCGCACATGCTAGGCAAGCACTCCACCACTGAGCTGCACCCCCATGTCTTTAAGCCATGAAAGGACCTGGAGACCCTGCTTCTTGTCCTGACCACTAGTCGTGACTCTGAAAAAGTGTCTTGGGCCTCAATTTCTCTACCTGAGAGACACGGATGAGGTCATGTCTGAAACTATGGATTTCCTCATGTGTCAGAAACCGCTAGGGCAGCATTAGCTAGTAGGTTGTAGCTAGGACCACACGAAGGGCACAGGTCCCCTCCACAGCAGTGCCCAAGGGGACTGAGTCACTCCTGGCAGTGTTAACCATGCTCCCAAATAAGTCATCTCCACGTGGCAAGCTGTTTGTTCGTCAACTCCACTTCATTAGTCACTCCTTCCTGTGTCTTGGTAAGACCAAGCAGTTAATGTCATAAGTCAGGGTTTGGAGGATTGCACACATATACCACGCCGGCTTGCAAAATGTCTTGTTATTTTCCTTTGGATGTTTCCATTCTGTGGCGATGCTGGCAAGGGAGAGGTGGGGCAAGGGAGCAGTGGATGGCCAAGGACCTGCGTCTTGGTCACCCTGACAGCCTGTGAAATATATATGTGACCTCCAAGGTCCCAGTGCTGCCCAGGCCTGATGGCTCTCTGCTCCCCTAGGAATCCTCCTACAAAGGACTATAGACCTGCAACTGGGACCTCCGTGTGGGCTCTTGGTAGTCAGAAGAGGCGACTACAGAGGGGTATTTTTACTGCTATGGTTACTATGAGGGTACCAGGGAGAGCGGTCACCAGCCAGAGAGGGACTCAGTCGTGGGATTTTCTTTCTCTTCTGGGTGTGGATTGGATGCTGTAGGATGCAGGGGCAGGAGGCCCAGTGAGGCTGCAGCGGTGTCCCTTCTCCAAGGCCCCGTGGTGGGCGGTGGTGGGGAGAGGGTGATGCCCACGGCCTGAGGAGGCTCCACATCAGAGGAGGAGTAGGGAGGGAAAGGGGCAGCCAGGGCAGTGGAGTTGAAGCATCACAGCTCCACAGATCTGGACTCAGATGCCAACTCTGTCTTGGGGACAGTCATGAGACCGTGGGCAGTGCCTTCCTTGCTAGGAGCACCACTGTGTCTCTGGCTGTCACCCAAGGACTAAGTGGATGGTGTGTGTGAAATGAGTAGCATGTGACTGGTACGTAGGAGATGCTGGATATAACAAATGGCTGGGGCTCTGGTTCTTTAGTGGCAGTTGAGCAATTAAATGAGCACTTAGCCAGGCGCGGTGACACACACCTGTAATCCCAGCAGATCTCGAGGCTCAGGCGGGAGGGAGGATCAAAAGTTCAAAGCCAGACTCAGCAACTTAGCAAGATTCTGTCTCTAAATAAAATACAAAAAAAAGAAAAAAGAAAAAAGGCTGGGGATGTTGCTCAGTGGTTAGCACCCTGGGTTCAATCCCCAGTACCAAAAAAAAAAAAGAATTCTGTCTGAGCTCTACGTGCTCCTCTTAGGAGATGGCTGGCATTGGCTTTGTGGCCATTTTCATTTTCAGGGTCACTCAGTGAATGTGCATGGGGACTCTGTTAGGAATCTTGGCCCTCCAGGTGTGGAAGGTGATGAATTGTATGATGAATTGTTTTAGAAAAATAACAAAATAACAGAAGAATGTACCAAACACAGCAGGTGGGTATGGGGAAACAGGGGGAAAAGCTGGGAGAGCTTAAAAGAGGTAGGGTTTTGAAGGAGGAATAGGAGTTTGCCAGACTGTGAAGGTGTCCCAGGGCAGGTATTCTAGGTCAAGGGAGATGAATTCTGCCCATTTAGAGGACAATACAGGGCCCAAGTGTGATGTGTCACAGAAGTGGGGTAGAGGAGGCTGGAGGGGGGGTGTGGCTCCACTGTGAACAGTCTACCCTTATCCCAAAGACATGGGGAGTCACCTTGCAGCAGTGATGTGGCCAGAGGAGAGGTTTAGACTGTTCTCTGATACTCATATGCAGATCAGATTTGGAGCAAGGGGCCTAGGGAAACAGTGGGCGGGTTGAACACTGATCTTGATTTTTTATTTTGATTTTGAAATGTATCTCTAGAGAACAGCACAAGCAAATCAGAAAGCACTCTTCAAATATTAGCCGATGCTGCTCATAAAATGGTCAACACACATGGTCTCAAAGGTCTGCTCGACACCTTGGATCTGTGCTTCCAAATCTGCAGACTCAGGGGCTTCCAGGAAACCCAGAAGGAGTTTCTCGCGCCCAGGCTAATGTGTTCCTTAACCTAAAGAGCACAGTGGGCCCTGGGGTGCAGAGCAGCACTAGTCAGGTGCTATGGGGAGGCGGCCGATGGCAAGCAGGGGAAGCTACACTTGAGGCACGTGCCACCAGGGAGGCCTGCTCTGGGGGACTAGATGCATAACAGGCTCAGGTGCCCACGTGCAGGACCCGGAGCATTCAACAGGTTTAATTAAGCACCTCCAGGTTAAGCGACTCCCTGCTCTGGGCTGCTTCATGTCAACCCCAGCAGCCTTCTGACCACGCCCCCAGACACATCTGCCCTCTGACCACGCCCCCAGACAATCTGCCCTCTGACCACGCCCCCAGACACAGCTGCCCTCTGACCACGCCCCCAGACACAGCTGCCCTCTGACCACGCCCCCAGACACAGCTGCCCTCTGACCACGCCCCCAGACATAGCTGCCCTCTGACCACGCCCCCAGACATAGCCCCTTAGTCCGGTTCTACCTTGAGAACTTTGTGGAACAAGTTGAAGCCCCTTTGCATGGCTAGCCTTTGATGCCATCCCATCCTGCAGAGTGATGGTTGCCTGGCAACCTCCACAGAGCCTGCAGCCCTAGATGGCTTTGGAATATCGGGAAAATTACCTTGTCTTTGCCCCTCTGTGCCCTGGTATTGGCATCAAAACAAAATTGGTTAACATGACATCAAGGAGAGCCTTGGCCAGGTAGAGCATTTAGAGAAAGGCATAGGGCACTGTGGTCACAACGGTAATCCCAATTTAGGAGGTGGAGGCAGGGGGATTGCAAGTTCAAGGCCAGCCTTGTCAAGGCCCTGTATCAAAATTTTTAAAAAGGGGTGGTGGTGGTACTGGGGAGAAAAAAAAAAAGAGGAATTTAGAGAAAGGCCTGAAACACCTGCTACTCAGAGGAGAGGGCTTCCCGCTCCCCAAACATAGGGCTCAGGTTCTTCCACTCTCAGGGTCTGCCCCGTCCTGGGCAGCACAGTCCTCCCAAGAGCCCCACAGACCCTCCTGTGGAGAGGAACAGCTCTTTAGAAGTAAGAAAGTATCTGCCCGCTGGTGCCATGGCTCACACCTGTAATCCCAGCTACGCGGATGGCTGAAGCAGCAAGTTCAAGGCCAGACTGGGCCACTTAGAGACCCTGTCTCAACATACAAAATAAAAAGGACTGGGGCTGTAGCTGAGTGGTAGAACACCCCTGGGGTTCAATCCCCAGTATCAAGGGGAAAAAAAAATCTAAGAGCATCAACGTTAGAGTAGGAGAGACCTTGATCTACACACCACCCCACAGGGCAAAAGAGGGCCTGGGATTTGCTCAAAGTCAAGACACTGGAGGGTAAGAATCCAGGGCTTGGCCTTCAGGCCTGCACGCGACACCTGCTAAGGTCAATCTTACTTTTTTCTGTAGCCCCCTCCTCCCCAGGGCCTAGCAGAGTAGGTGCTCAGTGAATGAGTGGAGGAATGAATGACCCAGTTCTGAGATCATATACTCTACTGCTAATTTGGCTGTTTTCCCAGGAAAAAGCACCATGGGTACAGCGTTGATCTGGAGTAGAATGGCTAAGTCTGAATCTTAGCTTTGCTCCTTATTGGCTTTGTGACTTTAGTCCAGTTACTTAACCTCTCTGTGCTTGAGTTTTCCTCATCTATAAAATAAGGTTAGTACAGTACTTGCCTTACAGAGATAAGACAGGGATTAAACGAATTCACAGTGGGTATGTCTGTAACACTCTTAGAATGGTACCCGGAACACAACAAGCTCTTTTTTAAGGGTTCGTGACTATTATTTTTTTTTCCTTGCCTCTCATTTCTAGCAGGCCTCGCGCTTCTCTGCCTGAAGTCTGGGGTTCTTCCTCTCCCTTAGGAGAGACTGAGCCCACAGAGGCGATGGTGCCAGGTGTCTGTGGGTGGGGAAGACAAGGGCCCCTGAGAAGCTGCCAGCAAGACAGCAGGAGCCCCCAGAGGAGCAGGGGCTGAGGTCTGTGGTTCCTTGGCAGGTGCCAGCCTCGCTTGCCTGTCCCCTGGGTCCCCATCCTTTGAGGCCATGTGCTGGGCGTGCCTGGGGAGGGTCACGGCATCCAGAGCGGGGTCAGGAGCTGCAGGCCCACCCAGGCTGGACCCGGGGTGGAGGAGAAGCGTCTCACAGCACCTGGGCCAGCCCTGCCGCGAGACCCATCCTGGAGTGGGAGGGACCCTCGAACCAGCCGGCCCAGGGGTGGGGGGCCTGGAGGTGGGGTTCAGGAGCTGGAGTCGGCAGAGCGGGGCTTGAGCGCCACGGGCCTGTTTCTGGGAGTCCGGCTGCCAGCTGACACCGCCTCTGTTCCACCTGGCTCGGCCCAAAGGCCCCCCCTTTCCCAGGGCCGCTGCTGGCAAAGGAACACCATATGGCTTTTCCAAATGAATAAAAATCCCAGCCCCCCAAAATGAAAAAAAGCCACAAACCAGAAACACTTACTCCAGAAGGCCACCGCAACTTAGCTGATGGCAGCTGAATCCTTCCAGGTGCTCAGACCAAAATCCCCCGAGACACCCTTGCCCCGTAGCTGGCGACCCCAAGCCCATTCCATCTGTGATTCTGTGCGCTCCTGCTTCCCAATCCGCCTCCGGTCCCTTCCTGGCCCTGTGCCGCTCCATCCTGCTGCCACCACCTCCACTTCTAGCAGTGAAGCATCAGGCAGATCACCAGCAAGACTGAGTCACTGGACCCTGCACTGGCTCCCTGCTCCTCTCAAGCTCCAAGGGCCAAGCCCTTCCTTGACCTTCAAGGCCCTGGGATCTGGCTTCCATCTCTCAGGCCTGCGCACCACCTGGCCCGTGGCTCCAGCCTCCCAGGCCTCTCAGCTGTCCCTCAAGCATGCCTGAGGGACATGTTTCTTGTGAGCTTCCACTGAATGCACCCTGACACTCAAAGTCATGGGCAGCTGGACGTGGGTACCACCCAAGGAGCAGGATCTGCAGGCAGCCACTGGCCCAGCAGCACCAGGTACACAGACAGTGCTGGACAGACAGTGCAGGCCAAGGGGCGGGAAAGGGAGGGTGTGGGGCTGATACCTGCTCGACAGCCAGGTTGACCAGCTCGTAGCGGGAGGAGCGCAGCAGAGGCAGGCAGAAGCTGTAGACGGCGTGCAGAGCCGCGCAGTAGAAGCTGAGCAGCCCAATCTGCTTGCGGTGCTGCAGCCAGTGGTCCAACCAGTCGGGGAAGCGGCGGTATTTGGTGCCTCGTCGCAGCTGCAGAGCGGCTGCCAGCACGCCAGGCAGGTAGACCAGGGACAAGAGCACGTAGGCCACACAGGGCAGCGTGGTGTTGACCACAGACACGGGCAGCTTGTAGAACTTGTTCTTGCCCTTTTGCACATAGGGGTGCAGCACGTCGCGGACGAAGTTGTAGGCATAGAAGCAGACAAAGAGCCCCAGGGCCAGGAGGGTGGGCACCTTCCAGCTTGGGAGGAGGCGCAAGGGCATGGCCTCTACCTCCCGGGCTGATGCCAGGGATCCCATGTCCACAGGCATGAAGCCCATGGCGTGCACCATCTCTGAGATGGTACGTTTGGCTTCTGGCTGGTCACTACAGATGGGCACCTGTGAGGAGGAAAGAAGACAATTATACGTGGTCACAGGCTATAGGAGTGGGCAGGATCTCAGTGACCACCTGGGCTAAACTCCTGTCAGCTGAGAAAAATAAGGCACAGGGGGCTCGTCCAAGTGAGTGGTCAATCAACAGTCAGCATAAGGTGGCTGACTCCCAGGCCAGGGGTCTTCTCAGGGCCCCCTGTGGCCTCCCGGGCTCAAGCCCAGCATGCACAGCAAGGTCCACCACTCAAGGAGGGAAACTGCAAGTGAGCGTCCTGCCCAGCTCAGGGATATCAATAGCCACAGGCCAAATGCCCACCTAGGTAGCTTCCCTGGTCCCCAGGAAGAATGGCTTTCATGACTGCAGCCTGCCTTGGAGTTACTCAGTGACAAGGTCCAGACACGGGCCTGAATGTGTACCCCTGGCTGCAAGCTCCATCCCTCAGTATGGAAGTGTGCCCTTTGATGATGTCCCTTGGTTCCACAGGGACCTCAGCCCACCCATGAGGCCTTTCCCATGCCAGCCCTGCCTCCCTTCTCTGCCCCTGGCCCAGCTGTTTCTTATGAGCGTCCACTGAATGCACCCTAGTGTCCTTGGATCTCCAGGCACTCCTGGGGTCATTGTGGTTCACTAACTGAGCACTTAGTCTGTGCTGCCTTTATTCACATGATCCTCGGCCTTGCCACAAGCCTGCAGGTAGGTACAACTGTCCCCATTTTTCAGACGAAGATACTGAGGCCCGAGAGCATTTTTTTTTCCTTGCCTTTTTGACTTTTCAGGTTGGCCCCTCAGCCTCAAAAGCCCTCTCTGCTAATATGAGGCAGGTCCAGGTCAAAGCCCACTTCAGTCTTCTCCAGCTAGCTCGCTTGCTCCGGTCCCTCCAGACCCTGCACCCCACTCTCACCCACTGCAGGGGTTCTGCCATGCAGAGTGTACTCAGACCTACAGTCAGGCTGGCCAGTTTCTCTGGACCGTCTCACAGAGCCTGGCACCCGGCTGGACTCAGTGGTGGGCATTCTCCCACAGGTGTGGAGTCTGGCCCTCTCCCCCGTGAAGGTGCAGGTGACCTTTTTGGCATTAAAACCCACCTTGTTTGGGTAGGAGCTCCTCCTGCCAAGAGATGCACACAGCTCTGACTATTCTCCAGAGATCTATTTCCCCTCCCCAAACCTGCTGCTGATTGTCCTAAGAAACTTTCTCAGTTCTTAGAAGTCCTTGGCATAAACCTGATAAAGTTGGGACCCGCCTGTCTTCTCAGGGCCTGGTATGGAAATGTGTTCTTTTTTTTCTTCCTGACTCCAGTTCTGCAGGCAAAGTCTCTCCTGTTTGGCTCCAAATACTAAAAAGTCACCACCCTTTTCTCCTCATCCCCTAGGAAACCAGTCACCATAAGAGAAAGAACATGGGTGCTCTGATTTGGATCTAGAACTCCTTCAGGGCTGGGGATGTGGCTCAAGCGGTAGCGCACTCGCCTGGCATGCATGTGGCCCGGGTTCGATCCTCAGCACCACAACAAAGATGTTGTGTCCGCTGAAAAAATTAAAAAATAAATATTAAAATTCTCTCTCTCTCTCTCTCTCTTTAAAAAACAAAAAAACTCCTCCAAAGGCCTGTTGAAGGCTTGGTCCCCAGCTGGTGGCACTGTTGGGAGGTGGCAGAAACTCTAGGAGGGAGTAAATAGCTGACAGTGTATCCCTGAAGGGTATATTTTGTTCCAGCCTTTCTGTCTCTTTTTGACTAGTCACCATGAAGTGAGCAGCTTTTCTCTACCATGCCTTCCTGGCCAACATATCCTGACTTACCATTGGCCCAGAGCAATGGAGCCAGTTGATTGTGAACTGAAACTTCTGACACCATCAGCCAAAATACATCTTTTCCTCCTTTAAGCTGATTTATCTCAGGTATTTTGTCACAGTGACAAAAGGCTGAGCAACACAATAGGTTTCAGACCCATATGACTAGGATTCAAATCCTTCATCAGCTATATGCTTTGAAATAAGATCATCAGCATCTCTAAGCCTCAGTTTCCTGGCTGGACAATGGAATTTGGCAGTGATGTGCAAGATTGGCTAAGACAAGGTGCATATAAAGCTTGGCATGCTGATAGCCCTCAAAGAAAATGAGCCATTTATATTTATTGTGATGATGGTTGTTATTCTCCCTGAACATACCTGCCTGTTCCCATCCCTCGGGCCAGCCTGCAGGGTCCAGGCGGAGATGACGTTGAAGGCCTTGACCACCGTGCAGGTGGGGAAGAGAGAGGCCAGGTATTCGGCGTTGGACTCACGATGCTGGAGGTGCTCCTGCTCCGTGGGATTGCTCACGTCCACCAGGATCTTGCCGGCTAACTGGTCACTGAGATCACACAGCGAGGAGTAGTGCTCCCGGAACACAGCCACGAAGATGACTTCTGGGGAGCTCACCGCCTCCTCCCTCAGAGTCACCTGGGCTGAGGAGGGGAACAGCCCGGCTGTGCGCTTGGGATTACGGCTTCCCACCACCACGCTGAAGCCAGAGCCTATAAGGCGTGTGGCCAGGGAGCGGGCAAAGTCCCCACTGCCCAGAATGCCCACTTTGGGGGCCTTGCTGGGGGCCTCCGCGAGGCTGCCGTCACTGTCCACCAGGCAGCGGCTGATCAGTGGCTTGTCCATCTCTCCTGACATTTTGGTGGCTGTAAGAGAAAGCAGGAACTCCATCACTGATTGTTCCCTCCTGCCCCTGATGCCCCCTTTTGTCCACTGTGGAGGGTCACACACTCACTTAGCAGGTGTTCTCTGAGTGCTACCATGTGCTAGCATCAGGGGACATGCTGAGCAAGACCAGCTCCTGCCCTGAGGAGGGCACAGGCTCAGGAAGAGGAAGGTGATGGACTCCTGTCCCCCACCCTTTGCCTCTCCTGCAGAATTACCTCCTGGGGACAAATTGGCAGGGTGGGAATCCTGGGAAGGAGGACATGGCGCTTACACAGCCAATGCTGCGCAGTCACATACTTCTTTTCCAAAGGATTATGCTCTGGACAGTGTCACCAGCCAGGAGTGGCCACTCAACCCAGCCTCATCATGGGTGTGTGTTGTTGTCTATGGTCACTGGCAGGGTTAACATGTTCCTGGGCAGGGCCTCCTCTTATGACTCTGGGCGTCACTGTTTGTCACTGGGTCTGGCACAGACCTGGTGCTCAATGTTTGCTGAATGAATGGATGAACACCAAAACCCTCCTCTGAGGGTCTGGGGAGACATGGGAATGAATTGGACCCTGAGATACGGTGGGTGCCCTTTGATGGTATTATGGTTTAGAGTGGTGTCCCCCAAAAGCTCATGAGATGATGCAAGAAGGTTTGGAGAAGTGATTGGGTTATAGCCTTAACCTAATCACGTGAATTGACCCCCCTGATGAGATTCACTGAGTGGTAACCGGAGGCAGGTGGGCTGTGGCCGGAGGAAGTGGTTCACTGGGGACGTGGCTCTGGGGTATATATTTTGTATCTGTCAAGTGGAGACACTCTCTGCTTTCTGATCATGATGTGAGCTGATGCTCTCTGCTACTCCTCCACCATGATGTCGGGCCTCACCTCCAGCCCCAAGGAAATGGAGCCAGCTGTCTAGGGACCGTGACCTCTAAAATCCTGAGCCCTCAAATAAAATCTTCCTCCCCTACAGTGGTGCTGGCCGGGTCATTTAGTCACAGCAGTGAAAAAGCTGACGACTAAAGCAGGTGGGAAAATGACATTTTAATTGCTACCAACTTCTAATTGAAATTGGCTCTTTCCTTCACGTATGAAGCAACGAACCACAGAGTATTGGCAGGACCTGTGTGTCACCAGGACTGATCGATGTCAAATCACAAATTCAATTGTCAAAGAGTTCTCTGAGTACTAGTTAAACTTACCTTTAATTTCAAATTACAGTAGAGTGGGGATTCAGTCGGCAGAACCCCCCACAACACACACACATTAAGGTAGATGTTAAGTCTGCTACTGGCTCTTGTTCCTTATGTGAATGCATACTACATGCATGCACATAAATAAGCATGCATATTACTAAAATGCATCTCTTTCGTGGTACTGGGGACTGAATCCACACATGCTTTACCACTGAGCTATATCCCTGGCACTTTTTATTTTGAGTCAGGGTCTCACAAAGTTGCTCAGGTTGGCCTTGAACTTGCAATCCTCCTGCCTTCAGCCTCTGAAGTTACTGGGATTACAGACGTGTCCCAGTTTAAACTGGAGAAACTGAGGCTCAGGAGGATTGAGAACCTGGTTCCAGGCAGTGACTGTCCCTTGAGAGTTACAGGACACAGTTCCCATCCTGCCTCTGCCCCCTTAACCTCTCACTCTTTCAAGTGGTTTTAAAACATCACCCTTGTCTCTTATAGGACAGCAGGGACTGGCCAAGCTAAGCCCCTGTGGGTGGTTTTGTGGCAACCATGCCTGCTTCCTGACTCCAGATGGAGGGGCCACGCCCACACAGGACACACGGTACCAGGCACTCCCCGCACCCCATCTCACCAGACTCGACCTCCTGCAAAACGGGAAAGGAGACTTTCTGCCTGGTTCTCGGACGTTCCCCAGTGAGGGAGATGAGCTACCCTTTGTTAAGTGCCCATGGGCTTCCGGACCCACCCCACCTTGCAGACTTGGAGTCACACACCATGACAGGAAGGGCTGTGCTCTAGAAGGAGCCAGACAGCCGGGCATGGGAGGCTGAGGCAGGAGGATCACGAGTTCAAAGCCAGCCTTAGCAATGACGAGGAGCTGAGCAACTCAGTGAGACCCTGTCCCTAAATAAAATACAAAATAGGGCTGGGGATGTAGCTTAGTGGCCGAGTGCCCCTGAGTTCAATCCCTGGTACAAAAAAAAAAAAAAAAAAAAAAAAAGCCAGACTGCTGTGTTCTGATTGACTCTAGTACCTACGGAGTGACCTAGGGCCTGTCTGTGACTCAATTTCCCCAGCTGTAAAAGGGAGACAGACAGCTCAGAACAGCACTGGGCACGTGTTAAGCACTTGGTAAAGGGCAAGTGATTACTAAGCACATACTGGTCGCCAGCAGAAGCCGAGCTCTGCACCAGCAGCAGGCAGGAGGTGGAGGAGGAGGTGGAGGAGGAGGTGGAGGAGGAGGAGGTGAAGACCCCTCCAGAACCCTGCTGGCCCCAGGAAGAGGATGAGAGCTGGTGGGAGGGGAGCCGGGGCAGCGGCTCCACAGACCAGCATCAGGGACCCTCCCAGAGATTCCAGGGTCCCTGTGGTTGGGAGGGTCGAGGCTTCCCCTGTGGTCAGGCAAGGCTGGAACGGGCATCCCAGCTGCGCAGAGCCAGGGGGCAGTTCTGCCCTGAGAGGGAGGGAGGGGAGCACACAGAGGCTTCCAGACGGTGTTCCCACACTTGCTAGCATGTGGATCCCAAGCAGATCCCCTCCTGGACAGTAGCCTGTACTTGTCTTTGCTCACTTCCTCCTGTCTCCTAGTGTGCAGAATGCTCAGAGAAGTATAAAGATGGGACACAGGGGCCACTCTTGGCTGGTGCCCATCTCGTCTGTGCATGTGGGGGAGGGGGGCTCGGATAAGACCGTTCATCAAGCACTGGACACGGGTGCTGGGTAGCTCAGAGGGGTGCAGGCCTGGCTGGGGCTCTTGTCCAGGGGACCGACACCACCTCCCAAGGGGAAGCCAAGGAAGGCTACACACACAAGAATGTGCCACCTGATGGTGCTTGAAGAAGCCCGGATTGGCTTACTGCCCAAAAACAAATGGAGCCAACCCAAAGTTAGGGAAGGCTCTCAGACTCAGACCTTGAGTCTTACCTATGCTGTACCCCAGACCCAGCATCACAGGTGGGAAGGGATGGTATGGATGGCCCTCAAGGTCATTGCTCCAAACAATTTTGGAGCAAATTTGGTATCTGCTTCCTTTTAGGGAGTTGAAGGGCAGCCACAGCAGAGGGATGTCAGGGGTGGAGGCCAGGAACCTGGGGCTGGGCCCATCTCTGTGCCCAACTGGTACTGGGACACTGGAGTATCACCAAATTTATCTGAGAAGCTTCTCTGACACGAGCCACTGAACTAGATCCTCTCCAAGTCCCTCCCAGTCCTGGCAGTCTAGCAATCCACTTAAAAGTCCCTGACAGCTGGGCATGGACCTGGAATCTCAGCTACTCCAGAGGCTGAGGTAGGAGGATTGCAGGCTCGAGGCCAGCCTCAACAACTTAGTGAAAGCCTCAGCAATTTACAGAGACCCTGTCTCAAAATAAAAAATAAAAACGGTTGGGGTGTAGAGGTAAAAGCACCCCGGGGTTCCATCCCTATTACCACTCCCCTCCCGCCTACACAAACATGACACACCTCTAAAGCACTTCTTGCCAGGACATCAGTCCTTGGGACAGGAAAATGCTGGGTGGACAGGTCACTCTGTGAGACCTCCCTGCCCTGGGGCAGCTCCTTCCTCTGCATTCCCAAAGCAAAGACAAAGCCACTGGAGTCAAGGGAGTTATTAGGAGGGTGGCTGAGGGTCTGGGCCAGGCTGCAGGGATCAAGTCATGGTCACAAGGTCACTAGCTAGCTGGACACCTTTGGGCAAGTTATGCAGCCTCCCTGTGCCTTAGTTCCCTCTGTTTCAAGGCAGGGACACTGGTTTACTTCCTTAAGGGTTGTGCAAGGACAAAGGGGCTAATGTGTGGAGGAGCTCAGAGTTCTGTGTGTGTGTGTGTGTGTTGTCCTCCAAGTTCCTCATGGGCAGTGGTTACATCAAATTCTGCCCTCCTGGTGCCCAGCATGAAGCCTGCTGCAGGTCTGAAGACCAGTGGGGGTGGGGACAGGCTAGGTGATACAAGTCCTGGAGGCTCCAAAGGCCCAGCAGTGGTGTCTACCGGCTCTTGCTTGTGCCTGTGGCCTGAGCGTGAGGGTGGATCAACTGGTCTGGGCCCAGGCTCTGAGGTTCTATTTATAGGTCCAGTGAGAGAGCAGAGAGGGGATCAAGTTGCAGCTGCTGGGTGGAGGCCTGAGGCCCACACAGCCCTGATCTGTGGAAAGGGCATAGAGGTTGGATGTCCTGATACCTTGGTCTCTGCCTAGACTTGCCTGTCCCCTCTCACTTCCTAGCAGGGCCAAAACCTGGGCTGTGATTGTGGCTGGGAGACTCACCTGGCCCAGAGGCTGCCTGTCAGCTCCCCGTGCTCTTGGGCAGGCTACTGACTGTCGTAATGATAGCACACGGGGCCCTTCAGACCCGCGCCAGAGCAGAACTCCTTCCAAAATGCATTATGCACTTTAAGAGCAGGCAGCCAAGCCCTCACCCAGAACCCAGCAATCATCCCAAGCTGCTGGGCTTCCCCTTGATCTTTTTTTATCCTTTTTTTTTTTTAAACCAAGGATTTAACCCAGGGGCCCTTAACCACTGAGCCACATCCCCAGCCCTTTTTATAGTTTATTTTGAGACACAGTCTCACTAAGTTGCTCAGGGCCTCACTAAGTTGCTGAGGCTGGCTTTGAACTTGTGATCCTTCTGCCTCAGCCTCTTGAGCCACTGGGGTTACAGTGCACCACTGTACCTGACTAATCTTTTTGTTTTTCCTTTCTTGGTGCCGGGGATGGATCCAGGGCTTTGTGCGTACTAAGCTCACGCTCTACCACTGAGAAACACCCCTCGTCCCTAATGGTTTCAGAAAACATTTTTGTAG